GACAGTCCTGGTTAGCGGGGGACAGTCCTGGTTAGCGGGGCTTTATTTTATCTTTTTACGTCTGTTCATTTTCCTTTCTTTGGCCGGAGTTTTGCTTCCACTGAGAACTTTATAACATTAATGTGTCCAAATCCCCCGCCAGCACTACCCGGGTGTCCAGCCGTCAGACGTGGAGGAGGTTGTGAAGAAGGGGGTGGAGACGCTGGTGATTGGCCGTGGAATGAGTGAGGCGCTGCAGGTACGTCCGCATGGAGTCCGTGTTCCACTCTACGTTCTTCCTGCACTTGTATGATGCAGTGGGCGGGGCTTCCTCTTCCCATTACTACCCCCAGTAATACAAAGGATGCAGGATGTTGTTTTGCCATCACAAGGGGGGGGGGGGAGTTTATAAAAAAACTTTTTGCATATATCTCCTGCTTGCTAGCCGTATATATCTCCAAATAAACGGGAGGGTTTAAATATCCTTTAAAGATGCCAAATCATAAAGCTAAGCATTTGAATTCTATTGGATAAGTATAACATGGAACTAGCTCTGGGCATGCCTGCTTAAAGGAGAACTATGCGGTCAGTGGCTTTCCCCATAGTTCTCCTAAGGGTCACGGGAGGACATATACTAACCTCCTCCCGTGACCCAAAGCTCAGTATACAGCAGAAAGGTATCATAGCACACTCACAAGCCAGCATGTAAAACAACTTGTCTCACCACTAAGGATAATGACAGAGGTTTGGATACACGTCTTCTGCAGAGGATGTGTAAGCCGCACTGCCGCGCCAAGGCACCTCTTATAGTGCGGTCCTAACTCTAAACTATGAGAGTCTCCATCTTGGAGCACATGGGGCAGAAGATTTCAAATTGGGTGCAGGCCTGTCAGGAGGAAGCCCAACCTCCTTAAAGGTACAGAGACACACAAGGGATCCCGCACATCCCATTGGCAGCTGAGAAACCCCATGCGTCGCTGCACCAAATCGGTAAAGCAAAACAAACGACAAACGCACTCAACAATTCGTCACCAGTTATACAGTAAGGTGCACACGAAATGGGCTTTAAACAGTAGAAAGGCATCATGGCACACTCACAAGTCTTGGTGAGACAAGTTTTTTTTACATGCTGGTTGTGAGTGTGCCATGATGCCTTTCTACTGTTTAAAGCCCATTTCGTGTGCACCTTACTGTATAGCTGGTGACGAATTGTTGAGTGCGTTTGTCATCTGTTTTGCTTGACCAAAGCTCAGTATATCGCGAGCTACAGTTTGCGGTATACGGAGACCGCCGGGATGGGGGGGGGAATCCCTGCAGGGAGCCGTGACTGACAGTCATGATCGAGAAGTGAGCGAGCGACGGTATGTGTTCGCTCACTTCCCGATCTACTGAGCGGACCTGTGACAGTCTCATTGTCACAGGTCGGCTCGAACTATGAGGATGAGTGAAAATCACTCGCCTCCATAGTTCTCCTTTAATGGCTGGAAATGGCAAAATCTCCAATGTTTTAGTACTTTTATTAAACAGCAAATGACAGTACGCTCAGAAAGCACTTAAAGCGGAACTACTCCCTCCAATCCCTTACAGCCACGGAAGGTGCCATCTTGGCCTCTCTGTGGATTGCAGTTGCCATGGTGCTGCACATGTGAGAGCTTAAAAGTTGAGTCGGGAGGTGAAATGAGCACACCGGCAACCTTCGCAATTGGCACGCCTTAAAAGTAACTGCTTTAGGAGACATTAAACTGGCGGGTACGGTTCCTCTTTAATACGCACACAATGCAGTGACTCCTATATTGATTTGTTCACGTCTTGTCATTGAGATCTCACGCAAGGTACCAATAGCTAATCAATAACTGCCATCAATGACCAATTCCTCCTCCTAGGTGCCAGCCTCTACTCTACAGTACATCAAGTCCCTGGGCATCGATGTTCTGGTCTTCCAGACGGAGAAGGCGGTGAAGGAATACAACAGCTTGGCTTCCCAAGGAGTCCGGGTGGGGGGTGTTTTCCATTCCACCTGCTGAACGGCCGGGCCCTGCCGCTTTGTACCGGGGCCCCGTCTGGTGCGCACAGGTGATGGCCGGTGACTAGTGGCAGCATGGACAGCTGCTCGGTGCCTAAAGATCATTTTTTTTTTTTCCTCTCCAGTTATAACGAAGCCTGCCCTGTGTGTTTTTCTGATGAGGTCAAGACCTGATAGCTGTGCCTCTTCTACTACCCCTTGTAGGTCTAGTGTACAGGGGTGTTAAACCCCCATTGGCTGAACACATATGTAGCAGAATGAGGTGGCCCTTATTCCCTGCTGCCACATACTGTGTATATATATATATATATACACCTGTTTTGGTTTTTTTCTAGGAGCCGGTAGGACGGGCTACCGATCGCATGATCACTGTGACAGCCAATCACATGATCACTGTGACAGCCAGGAATTGCCTCCAGCTTTTAGGCTGGGTTCCCACCTGGGCGGATTGAATATGCGCATTTTCCGTGCGGTTTTTTTTTTACCGCGATTCGCGGTAACGTTTCCGAGGGATACTTGGCTGTATCCCAATGGAACCGCCCGACCAAAATGCCCCAAAGAAGTACATGTACTTCTTTGGGCGTAGGGCGGTTTCCCGCGCGTTCGTACTCGTGGAAAACCGCACAGATGGGAACCATGCACATTGAAAATAATGGCATTTCCCTGTTTGAGTGGTTTTCCGCGAGTACGAAAGCGCGGAAAACCGCCTAGGTGGGAACCCAGCCTAAGATACTCTTCAGAGATCAGCAGCAAGGGGTCCATATACATTTACTCCCATACTGATCCTGTGTACACTAGACCTTTTAGAATGGCATTTTTCCCCAAAAAGCTGCAACTTTACAGGAGATACCATAGAAACCGAGAGAACTGGTCATCAAAGAGCTTCTCATAAACTGGCATTGGCTTTAAAGCCTCATTCACACTGGAATTGGCCGGCACATACAGCTCCGTGCTGCGTGCACGGCCCTATCGGGCAGCTCCCGGGAAGGACAGGTGCTGCGTGTGATTAGTACGCAGCCCCCGTCCTTCTCTATGGGACTACGCGGCCGTACGACAGTACCATCTTCCCATCTATCAGTCACATTGGGGGTAATTTTTTAAAACCTGGAGCAGTTGCCCATGGCAACCAATCAGCGTCTTTCATTTTCAAATCTCAACTGAGCAAACTGAAGAGAGAAGCTGATTGGTTGCCATGGGCAACTGCTCCAGATTCTATCTGCTCCGGCTATGATAAATTCCCCCCGTCTCTTCCTTTTCGTGTCATCTCCGCCCCTCGATGT